GTGGTCCTAGCTTGGCTGTTGTTACATTTTTATAGTTGTAAATTGGTTGATTTGTGGGAGAGTGACGCTGGGGACTGTCTATTCTGCCATCTTGAACGGAACTCTCTAATGTCTTCCTTTGTATTGCCTGTAAACTCAGCCTTTTTCCCCGAGACTCCAAATGTTATCATTATAACCCACCATTTGTCTTGGTCCATCCATATTTAGGGTGAAGAGATTATGTCCCAGCATTCCCAGGAGAGTACAGCAGATGAGAGTGAGGATGACATGTCATCCCAGGTCTCCAGGAGCAGAGCAACAGAGGTACCTCAGCAAAAGGCACCAGAGTCACATTGACAGTTGTATTTTGTTAACTGTTCTGAGTTGGTAGAGAGAGCAGAACTTTGCCTGCTTATGTTATTATCAGATAACTTCTATGCCCATCTCCATTCCCTCCAATAAAAACTACTTAGCTTATATGAATTCTGTGGGACCTAGAAAAAACAATCACTCAATCGTAGAATCGCTCTTGAGTATCTCGAGTTGTAGCATATGTTATGGAGTTGAAAATTCCCTTCCAATATAGCCTCCTATTTTCCATGAATTTATATCTGAAACCATTTTAGAAGGAGAAAAGGAGAGGTCAAAGTATTCTCTGAATGCTGAGAAGAATAAGTTAAACCTTTTAAACATGTTTGAACATATGAAAACAGAAATGTGAAAGTATTTGGTGAAAGCCAAAGCACAGAGTCAGCAGCTGCCACCACAGGGGAATAAAATAAGGATAGAGATTTTTATTCTTTTCTGTGGCACAGATGCTTCTGAGAATTTTAAGAAAGCTAAATAAAAATGTGTACATTTATAAATTTGCTACATTTCAAGTGGGTTATCGATACTAAGAAGCTCAGCTTTAAGGCTGGCCAGTTAGGTCACTTGGGAGAGCATGGTGCTGCTAACACCAAGGTCATGGGTTCGGATCTCTATACTGGCCAGCCACAAAAAAAAAAGGCAGCTCAGATTTAAGAACCCCTGCTGTGGGCCCTCTCTGTAGCACAATTGGAGGCTGGTGCAGAAAGACTTAGGTATGAAAAGTCCCTTTATGTACATGGCTTTCAGTTTATTTTTTGTTTGTTTTTTTGCAGATGGTTAGTGTGCAGATTGGAACCATGACTTTGAGGTTGTAAGGCCGCGTTCTACCCACCTGAGCTAACTGGCCAGTTCATGGTCCTCCGCTTAATTAACATGCCTTCTCTATCTTGTTCTCATAAAGAATTTGAGGCAGACAATATCCTATTAGTTTGATACTTTCTCCTAAGCAAACCTTCCATACTAGAGTTGCAAACCAGACAAAATTATGTGCAGGATTCCTATTGGGATACACCAGTACTTTTAACAAATATTTCATTCTATATTGAGTGCCCATTTTGTAGAGCAGCAGTAGAGATTTAGGACGATGGCTTATTTAAAGGTCAAGTAGAGCTGGCCGGTTAGTTCAGTTCCAGCCAGCTGCCAAAAAACAAAGCAAAAAATCATGCAAATTTGGTTCAGTTGCAGAATGGCATGAGTCAATATTACAATGACCTCTCTGTGTGGTCTTGGCTTAGAGTTTATGGTGTCAAGAAGAATGGGGAGCCTCTGATTGATTTTACAAATGAATGGTTTAAAATCTATCATTGGGGGCCTGCCTGTGGCTCACTCGGGAGAGTGTGGTGCTGATAACACCAAGGCCATGGGTTCAGATCCCATATAGGGATGGCCAGTTAGCTCACTGGGTGAGCATGGTGCTGACAACACCAAGTCAAGCGTTAAGATCCCCTTACCAGTCACCTTTAAAAAAAAAATCTATCATTGGTTTTAACAATGATAACAGGACAGTTATATACATCCTGTAGGAGATGTATTGCAATTCATAGGGTCACCCAGAGTGGCGACCTAAAATATTTGTCATTTGTCCCTTAGAATGATGAAGAAGATGAAGCAAGTGCTGGAGAAAAGGAGCAAGATAGTGATGAGAGTGATGGTGACTCCGATTAGACCCCACAGAGACTGTTGCCCCCTTCCCAGATCTCTGCCAGCCTCTTAACCATTTTGTATTCTGCTGTCTGCCTTTCTAACTGGAAGCATCCTATTTTGTCCTAAAAAGAGAGGGCTTTATTTAATTAACTTAATTGTGGTAGATTGTCTAAATTGTTAAAGTCCCTGGCTCAAGATTCCAGTGTAGCATTATTTATTGGTTTGGATAAACATGGCAGTGCTATGCTGCAGAGTAAAAAATTTGAGTCGCGGGCCGGCCCGGTGGCGCACTGGAGAGTGTGCCGCTTGGAGTGCGGCAGCGCTCCCGCTGAGGGTTCGGATCCCATGTGGAGACCGGTTCCCGCTCACTGGCTGAGCGCGGTGCGGGCGCAACACCAAGGGTTGTGATCCCGTTGCCGGTCCCCGGTATGGGCGTGACACCGAGGGTTGCGATCCCGTTGCCAGACAGTAAAAAAGACAAAATGGGAAAAAAAAAATTTGAGTCGCAATTCTGGGCTTTCAGAGCTGGTTTTGAAACTCTTTTATGTATTCTAGAATTTAGATTTGTACCAGTTTTACAAATAAATCCTGTTCTGAGTTATACCTTGGCTACCTCATTCCTCTTTGTGGATTTTCTTTATGATTCAAGGATTAGATGGAATTGAGTTTTGTGCAGAGAGATGATGGAGACTAGTGCCAACGTAGTTCTAGCGATTAAATCATGTCTCCCATTATAAGGACCATCTTCACTTGAGATGAGCAGATCTTTGTGATCTTTTTGAAGGAGTGACTTGAACAAGAATGTCAATGCCTAAAGAAAGTCAAAAGGAATATTTTGGCTGCTTTTAAAATTTCTTTGGTCATTGTGTTAGTATAAGACAAAGGGGGAAAAGGCAGCATCATACTCAGGTTGACTTTATATACGTAATGTTTATTTCCATAGTATTATGAGTTATACCCATAATCTAGTTGTAAGAATGCTACAAAATTACTTGTAGTTTGTTAGAAGTAGAGCATTAGGAGTACACTTCAGCTAAAATGGGGGACTTATGTCTTCTGCCAGAAAGCACAGTTTCAGTGCTGCTACCAAGTTCTTTTTTGCCAGGCTGTAAATATTGTTTAATATTCCTTAATATTTCTACCCCCTTTTGAACTCTCCAGTGGTATTAGGGTATGGCTGGTTAGAGTTTGTTATTGTTTTGGAAGGTGCGTGGGGGTGGAACGACTTTGTTTTTAAACTAATCTTTGACTCACATGTACATTTTTAACCCCTTTATCCTCTGGTACATAAAAATCCATACATCTTCTTCCTTGACACCCCCGCCCCCCACAAATCATTGTGGTCTTATGTGTTTAAGTGAGTTCACACTAAGCTCATTGATTTATATGGTTTGTTTAATGGTTCTTTAGCACATATACATGTCAATGCTAGTTCAGCTCTCTTTTACATGGTTGTTCAACTTTACATTGGGGCTCCTGAACTGTCACTGCTTAACAGAACAATAAGATGGCTAGGGCGATGTCACAGTCTCATTTACATGGATGGTTTTCTGTAAGCTTCAGGTACATACCAAAGGACATGGTGTGAAGAACTGGGGAACAGATGGGGAGCCTTTACTTGGAGTGTTGCAAGGCAAAGGTGCACTTTTTGTACGTTGCATACAGCAAGAGGATAGAGCGCAGCATCTGTTTGCACATAGTCACTGTCATCTGAATCTGAGGCTCCTTAAGTCCAGTGGGCCACTGGTGCTCCCTGCCGATGATTTTGCAAAAGGCTGACTTGTCTGAAACTCTGAAGGTTCCAGTCCACTTTGGTGGCTGAGCCGTGATGACCCTGCCAAAGACAGAATCCACTCCATTGAGGCGGACAGGCTTGGGTTTCCTGACCAGTCCTTTCTTGTTGTTCATGGTTTGGAGGTCTGACATGTGGCAGGGTAACTTGGGACTCACTCCAGTTTCCAGGAATGGGCTGTCAAGGACTAGAGTAACCTCCTGAAAGCATAGCTGCACTTCAAGGTCAGAAGGGGTGTGTGGGAAACGGGGGGAAGCCCTAAAGGGGTGCTTGGAGGAAGGTGTAGGTGTTGTGTGACGCAGCCATTGGAAGCTCTCGTCTAGTGGGGTCCATGGTGACCAGAGCTGGTATCCTGCCATTGACAGCCCTAAAAGAGAAGAATCAGAACATGGAATTTCCCTGGCATGCTTTTGGTGAGGGCATGGCCGATCAAATTCGCATCTCTTGGTGTCATTATTGACTTAAACTTACTCTGTAGTTCTCAACAGATAAAGTATTAGTAATTCTACAAAGGGTAATAGGAGATGGTAACTAGTATTGAATCTGACAACTGCTATGTGTATTAAAGGTTTATTAAACCTATCATAAGCCTCTGAAGGTAATTAATTCTTAACCCATTTTACAGATGAAATGGATTTGTCCGAAATGGAATATCCCAGTCCACCATTAGGACCTATGCTGTGTTGGTAACTGCTAAAGGCAGAATCTATTCCTCTGAGTTGGCAGAGGCTGCTGGTACTTCATGATGAGACCTTGTTATTTCAGATTAGAAGACACTCAGAAAGGCCATGTCTTAAAAATGTTTGTGACTCTAACCCCATGTACTTTACACCAATGGTTCTCAAAGTATGATCCCTGAACTAATAGCTTCATCATCATTTGGGAACCTGGTAGAAATGCAAATTCTTGCGCCCCACCCTAAACCTACAGAATCAAATTCTGGGAGTGGGGCCCAGCAATCTGTATTTATACAAACCCTCTAGGGGTTCTGTTGCACGTTGTAGTTTGAGAACTTATGCCATTCTTTTTTAGCAACTCTAGCTTTCACTATTCGTTATGGAGACAGTCTCCTTTTGTCCTTAAGAGCCTTTGTGTTTTGTTTTGTTTTGTTTTGTTTTGTTTTGTTTTGGCAGCTGGCTGGTACAGAGATCCGATTCCTTGACCTTGATGTTACAAGGCTGTGTTCTAACCAACTGAGCTAACCGGCCAGCCTCAAGCCTCTGTTTCCTGACACAGAGCAGCTCTTGCAGAGCCCTGGGCTATGCACCACCTGGGTTACGTACCACCGCAGAGGAGTTATACCAGGTTGGGAGGGAAAAAAGTTTCCAAAGGTCAGTCTTTTAAAATTGTTAGTTTTTGTTTTTCTAAGTATGGGTTATTTTTTTGTTTGGTTTTGTTTTCATCTATAGGAGACCTGCTGGTTAAAATCTTGATTTTTTTTTTCCTTTGAAGATAAAGGAAAGGGCTAGGAGGATATTGCTAACTCAAAATTTATCCAAGCAGAATTTGGATTTTCCATCATTATTCTTCAAAATTGCCAGTGTATGAGGGGTTTTACTGAATTTGGGAGAGGCTAACGTTTTTTGGGCACCTACCTAATGTTTGAGGACATAGCAGGTCCCTCTTCTTTCCAGCCAAGTATATTCCTCTGCCCCTTCTCACTTCTCCCACAAAAGGTAATGGCAGATCTGATCCCATCCCATCCAGTAATTGCCCTGAAAATGCTGTGAAAAGTTGACACCTCCACCATAGCTTGTGAGACAGTAAGGTTTTTAAAAAACCGTTGGTGGGGCCGGCCCAGTGGCGCACTGCAGGGTGCGCCACTTGGGAGCGCGGCGGCGCTCCCGCCGAGGGTTCGGATCCCATGTGGTGACCGGTTCCCGCTCACTGGCTGAGCGTGCCGTGGGCGCAATACCGAGGGTTGCGATCCCGTTGCCGGTCAGTAAAAAAGACAAAAAGGAAAAAAAAAACTGTTGGTGACATTTCAAACTAGAAGACCTGCCCCTGACAATGGTTAGTATAAAGGAGATTTGTTGATTTCCTCCAACTAGTATGTTTCTCATGATCTATGCAAGCCTTTTGCAAATTATTACGTGTTCAAATATCAGGGCTGCCTTAGGATGAGAAACTGAAACCCAAAGGACAATTATCTATTCCAAACAGCCTATGAAAGGCACTGATGCTTGATATCTTGATATTACCAGTATATATCCAAAATCAGGGCTATTCTGGTATACCACCATGGCAAGATGGAGGTGGAGGGTATCAATTCCTCTGAGCATATGACCAAATAACGTATTTAGCCCCAGGATCCTTTTCTTGGCTCATCGTCTAAGAGGAAATAGAGCCAGAAGTAAAAGCCTTTGTCATATGTCCAGCCTAACCAACATGGGACGAGAGGGTTCTGACCTTAGGTCTTTTCACCCCTGCACATGAGGCTTAAATAAAGATGATTCACTACAGTGGAGTGAGATGGCTCACTCCAGGAGGAGTTGAACTTAGGAGGTCTGTTCAGGCTACTCCAATAGCTCCCAGTTCCTCTGGCCAAAAAGACTTCCCCTTCATTCCACTCCTCCTGTGCCAAGACCCCGTGCCTCAATTTCCCCACCTGGGAACGGAGAAGGCAGCGCCGAAGTGCAGCTGAGGTTCTCGTGTATTGTAAACCGAGATCCAGAGGGGCTAGAGCTTCCTGAGTGTGGAAGGCTTCCCCGACCCTCTGGAAAAAGGCGCCTGTCTCCCAGGGGTCCTTACACGGTGGCGGGGACCAGACGGCTCTGGCCGAGGCGGAGGCGGTGGTGGGAGCCCGGGGCTGGTCCCATTATGCGGGCCGGGGGCTCACCTAATGAACTCGGCGGGTCGCACGCTCCATAGTGGCGGCCGCTGTTCCCGGGCCGCATCTTTTCTCCGCCGGGCTCCTGGCAACTGCCTTTGTGACCCAAGACAACTGTGGGGGCGGGGAGCCCAAGCAGTGGTAGGGGGCTGGGGGCTCGAGACGCCCGCCCCTATTGGAGGCATCAGGGCTGGACTCCCCACCCCCAGCTCCTTAAAGCGCCTGGTCCAGGACACAGGCTTCACGAAGGTGAGTTCGAATACCGTCTCCTCTGTTCTCCCCACCCTGCCATACCTGTGTGCCCTCGATCATGTCACAAAGGACAGACTGCTCCACTTCAAGGGCTGTAGTCAGGAACCTTCGTAGAAGTCCCAGGACCTATAGTTTGTGTTATCCTGCTCCGTGGGTAGTTGGGCTGAGTGACCCAGAGCCCTGAAGGCCATTGTTGCTATACCAGAATGATCCCGGAGCAAGAAGACAATTTACAAATGCTCACCTATCAAGAGCAACAGGAAGATATACATGTCTTTCCTTGACTTCTTGATAGAAAACCTTTCTCTGCTTTCTGGTAAATCTCAAAAAGGATAATTCTGTTCCTTTCTTGTTGCTGAAAAACTGGCACTTTCACCATGGTGAAAGTGGTTTCATAATTTGGTAATCATCACTTCAAACAATTATTACCCTGGATGGCTGAGGGAAGGGAGGAGTCTACCCACTGCTTCCTGTATGCCCAGTGCCTGGCTATTGCAGTGCCTGGCAGTGAGCATGCCCTCTGGAAGTGAAGGAGAGTTTAGACAGAGAGTCAGAAACTGGAGAGGGGCAGAGAATGATGAGACTTGGAAGAGACAAATGATTTTGAATTATAAAACTTTTCTCTCAGTTTATTTTTATTTTTCTCTTGAATAAAAAGCACATCTGTTCTTTAAAAAGTAAACAAAACAGTAGTTTTTTATTTAGTTTTTATTGCATAGTGGTTTTTTTTTTTTTTAATGAAAGTCCCCAAAGCAAAATTGAATGATTAAAAATTACTGGATATGTACCATCCAGCAATAAATAAATAGAGAGGACTTCAATCTGTACCACAGTCCTCTGTGCATTCTGCCCAGCTCTAAGGGACATGTTCTCAGAAGTGCCTTTGCCATCAACTCCAAGTCTGATATCCAGCTCCATATGGAAAACTAGAATCTCCAATACTACACATTACTGATGACCTTCAACATCGGCTTGGTCTGTATCATGTAGTGGTCAACATTCTGGTTGCACTGTTCAGGGAGTCTCATGACAATAGCCGCATTTTGCTCTGCCAAAAGCTAACACATTTCTTTCAAGGCAGCCAGCAACATTGCTGTGGTGTATGCCCACACTGTATCCAACCTTAGATGTCTCAACGTGTTACATTTATCCATTTATCGTGGCACAACCATGGTATCACAAAGTGTTAGTAGGAATTCTAAGTACTGAATTGATAGGCCCGGGTACACAAATGATGTTCCAAGTGCATATGATTGCAAAGGAGGCTCAAATGACCAGGCTTAAAGCAATTGACATGTTTCTTTGAAAATTTTATTCCTCATTGATTCTTACACCTGGAGTCATTGACAAGATCCCCAAGTTCTGTGACGAGTATGACCAACTCAAAGCAAAGACAGGGACCCAGTTCCCCTATGTTAAGGCGATCTGCTACCTGGAAACACTCCCTGTTGCACCAATAGCATTCCCAAAGCTAGACTCTGTAGCCCTGCAGCATGCATCAGAAACAATTCCTGTGATGAAGTACTACCATGCTGGCAAACCCCTAACTGGAGGGCTTCTTTGATAGCAAGCTCTGAAAGGTGTTCAGGAAAAAGCTTCGGCTGAACATTTTTCACTCCATAACAGCATCGTATCCTTGAGTGGTTTGGAATCACAGGGGAGATCCTAGGAAAGGATCTTTCTATACAGAAAGTCAAGCAAAAAGACAAGAGCTGAGTCTGACTCATCCGTGGAAGATGATTAATCATTAAAAAAAAAAGTTGGCTTTCTGCTTTCTGCATAATAAACTGTAAACTGATCATGAGTGCGTGCTTTGTAAGGAGCTAGGCACTGTAGTGTTATACTTTCTCACATAATCCTCCCAACAATCCTAACCCATCCAAGTTGTTATCTCTGTATTACACATAAACCAAACCTCAGAGCAGCAAATTTACTCCTCTATGGTAGATTTGATGTTTGGAACTGAGATTCACTACCTTTAAAGGTAAAGCAGGTCCATCTTACTTCTCTTTGTTTTTTTTTGTTTTTTGGGTTTTTTTCATTATTAATTTTTTTTCTTTTTTCTTTTTTTTTTTGATTATTGTGGCCCATTACCGAAACCTCCCTCCCTCCCTCTTCCCTCTCCCCCCTCCCTCCCAACAATGTCCTTTCTGTTCGCTTGTCGTATCAACTTCAAGGAATTGCAATCGTTATGTCTTCTCCATCCCCCGTTTTTTTTGTGTGTGTGTGCATGTGAATTTATTTATTTTTAGCTCCCATCAATAAGTGAGAACATGTGGTATTTCTCTTTCTGTGCCTGACTTGTTTCACTTAATATAATTCTCTCAAGCTCTTACTTTTCTTTTCCAAAGAGAATATTCATTTCATTCAATTAAATTTATTTCAGTTTCATTCAAGAGAAATTTCTTGATTAACTATTGATATGAGCCTATGGAAGTTCTTTGGGGGATGTAAGAATAATTAGAATTTAATTCTTGTGCTTGAATAGAAAAAAAAAATCTCAGGGAAGGGTTTACTGAGGGTCGGGGAAGGAGGTCGGTCATCTGGATCAGGCAGCTGACAAGCATTTGTTGAGGAGCTATTTCTTGTATAGAACATGGGACTAAGCATGTTGGAGGAATGTGAGATAAACAAGGCGCACTCCCTGATTGTGCTGAGCTTTCCATACAACAGAGAGCACCACACATTTACGTAGAAAATGATTTGAGATCTTTCAGCAAGATGAATTTAAAGAGATGTAGAGAGAAAGGAGCTAATATTCACTGAACAGTTTATTTTATTTCATTTTGTTTATTCAACAGATGTTAATAATTAAGTGCCTGTTATGTGCCAGGAGCTACTCTATATGCTGGATATACATCAAAAAGTCTACATATCCTTGTAATGGTTTACCAGCACTATTTCATATTATTACACAATCACCTTTATTCTGGCTGAATTGTGTCCCACCCCCAAATTCATATGTCAAAGTCTTAACCCCCAATACTTCAAAATGTGACTTTACTTGAAGAGAGAATCTTTATTTATTTATTTATTTATTTTTCCCATTTTTTAAAAAAATTTATTTATTTATTTTTTCCTTAATTTTATTTTGTTGATATACAATGAGGTTGATTATTGTGGCCCATTACTGAAACCCCCGTCCCTCCTCCCTCCCCCCCCCCCCCCCCCCCAACCTCCTTTCTGTTTGCTTGTCATATCAACTTCAAGGAGTCGTAGTTGTTAAGTCTTCTCCCCCCTCCCCCCCGGTTTTTTTGTGTGTGCGTGTGAATTTATTTATTTATTTTTAACTGCCACCAATAAGTGAGAACATGTGGTATTTCTCTTTCTGTGCCTGACTTGCTTCACTTAATATAATTCTCTCAAGGTCCATCCATGTTGTTGCAAATGGCAGTATTTCATATGTTTTTTTAGCTGAGTAGTATTCTATTGTGTATATGTACCACATTTTCCGTATCCACTCATCCGATCGTGGACATTTGGGCTGGTTCCAACTCTTGGCTATTGTAAAGAGTGCTGCAATGAACATTGGGACTTCTCTTTGAATGTGAGCAAAATACTACTCCAACAGAATCACTTAGGATATACAGCCTCAAATGGCAGGGAGCCTACTGGATTTCTAGGGTTCTCTAGTTTTTGATATCCATTATTTATTTTAGAAATAATTTGTATGATTATGTAGGAGAGTTCAGACAGACTTTGACCTGTTTTCAGAGTGGTACAGCGAAAACATAATGGGGTCTAGAATCAGCTGGTTAAGGTCCACCACTTGTATTCAAAGGGGCATTTTTTTTTTCTTTTTCAATGATTTTTTAAATAAAATGATTAGGTCAAAAGGTTTGAAATTTTTTACAGCTCTTTATATCAATTTACAAATTTCCCTATGAAAGGATTATGACAGCCTGCAGTGTGACCAGCTATTTACAAGCTTACCAATTTAGCCTTAGCCTCTCCATCACTGGGTGTTAGTGTTACAAAAAAACCCAGGGTCATCAGGTTGCGTCCTTAACAGGCATTTTTATAACGACTCCTATTTAGCGTGGTTTAAGGGGCTGTACCGATCTTCTTGCCAACCCCAAAACAAGAGCTGAGGAGGAGGTAGAACCCACGCGCCCCCCAACAACCATACTGCCGAGTGACGAGCGTGGGTGCGTTGCTCTTGGCGCATGCGCTCTCCACCCTTCCTGCCGGAGCTCAGGCATCTGTTTTCCCGGGCGTGGGAGCCCCGCGAAAACGCCGGGGAGGACGTGACGTCGCGCAGGCGCACCAGAATGCCCGTGGATTCGTGGGGGCCGAGGGATGGGTGTGGGCTGGCGGCGCAGGCGCACTAGCGGCCTGTAGGGTCGGGGCGTCTGCGCAGTCGCTTTTCCTTAGGCGGCTGCCATGGCGGGGCAAGAAGATCCGGTGCAGCGAGAGATTCACCAGGACTGGGCGAACCGGGAGTACATTGAGGTCATCACCAGTAGCATCAAGAAAATCGCGGACTTTCTCAACTCGTTCGTAATAACTTCGTATAGCATACATTATACGAAGTTATACGAAAATAGAGAGGACTTCAATCTGTACCACAGTCCTCTGTGCATTCTGCCCAGCTCTAAGGGACATGTTCTCAGAAGTGCCTTTGCCATCAACTCCAAGTCTGATATCCAGCTCCATATGGAAAACTAGAATCTCCAATACTACACATTACTGATGACCTTCAACATCGGCTTGGTCTGTATCATGTAGTGGTCAACATTCTGGTTGCACTGTTCAGGGAGTCTCATGACAATAGCCGCATTTTGCTCTGCCAAAAGCTAACACATTTCTTTCAAGGCAGCCAGCAACATTGCTGTGGTGTATGCCCACACTGTATCCAACCTTAGATGTCTCAACGTGTTACATTTATCCATTTATCGTGGCACAACCATGGTATCACAAAGTGTTAGTAGGAATTCTAAGTACTGAATTGATAGGCCCGGGTACACAAATGATGTTCCAAGTGCATATGATTGCAAAGGAGGCTCAAATGACCAGGCTTAAAGCAATTGACATGTTTCTTTGAAAATTTTATTCCTCATTGATTCTTACACCTGGAGTCATTGACAAGATCCCCAAGTTCTGTGACGAGTATGACCAACTCAAAGCAAAGACAGGGACCCAGTCCTCCTGCCAGCCGCACTTTCCTCCTCGCGCCCTGACCTTCACGCTGGGCTGTCTCTGTGGGGTTGTCCTGCCCCGAGCGGAGCTCATCGGCTCCACTGCCACCCCCCGACCCACTAACAAGTCCTTTCCCAGACTCCTCAGGCAGCCCCTTCCAGCCTCGGTGTGTTTTCTTTTCAGCGGCCTCCACGCCTCCTTCGTGTTCCACTTTCATTCCAGTCCCCACTTGGCACTTCAAGGGCGCAGCCCTGACCGTGTCTGGACTGTTTCAAGACTCTTGACGGTTCCAGGGCGGGCAGGTTGTCTCAGTTGGTTGGATCCCTGTGCCCGCCAGACGCTAATAAAGTCTCCTGACGGGTCCCCCATCTCCTTCAGGATCAAGTCGAAACACGTCAGCGCCTGCCATTTGGGCACCCTTCTCAGCCACTCTGCAGTCCTTCCTGTCACCCACGCATGCTGTGCTGAGGGTGGTGGGAGATGAGGTCCGGATCGTGCGGGGCCTTGGAAATCCTCTCTGTATTGCTGGTATCTAGCTTGTAAGTGTTCTGTCCCCTTCTAGCCCGTTCCTCAGAGCGAACATAGGGTAGATGCCTTGAACAGAGAGGCAGCTTTACCGAGATCTCTCCTAGGCATGGCCTGCTTGCGACAGTCTTAAACTCTTTCTGCACTGTTTGTATCCTTGAGGACAGCAAGCCCGTAACAGAGACTCCTACCCATGTTCTCCTAGTGTTTCTTTAAGAGAACTAGGCACTGGGTAGACTCTTGTGTGATTACAAGGTGCAGGGATGGACATCTAACGATCTTTTTCCAACTTGTGTTCTTTGGTTCCACTATTTCAGCAGCATTAAGCACTTAATATTAAATAGGGGAAACTGATGTATTAAAAGTATTTTTAAATGAATTATTTTCTAGCTAGAGGACTGATGAGCCCTAAGGAGTATAAAAGTGACAGAGCAAGTGTTTTGTCAGAAAGCATCAGCAAGAGAAACTGGATCTTAGCACAAGACTCTCTCTTAAGGTACTGGGGAGGAGAGGAAGCACAGAATAAGAACCATTTCCTACATTCAAAGAATTTCTAATCTTGAAGATGAAATGATGAAATAGTGACAACTTAACGACAAAACAGAACATTGTTTTTGTATTAATATATTTACACCAAGATCAAGGGTTCAGATCCCTATATTGGCCAGCACCCCCCCCCCAAAAAAAAAACCCTATGTATTAATGTATTTACATATAAGGTGTAAAGGACGGTAACTTTTATGACTTGATATAGCGGATTTCCTTACCAGGGTATAAGGATGAAGGTAGTATTAATGAGAGAAGAGAATCGTATAAATATATGTCAGCATACACATTCATACTCATAAATTGCTGTGGGGGTTGTAGGAGGGAATGGTAATCAAGAAATCGTAGATCTCATGTATCCTGAAATTTTTTTGACAAACATAAGTGAAAACATAGTGGAAAAGACAAGTGGGTTTGGAGTTAGGAGGCCCAAGTTCAAAGAGGCTAGACTGATTCATGAACTGAGAATATTTGAGAAATATTGACCCATTTGCTCTGTTACTCAGTCTGGATTTTCTGAGATTTCTCAGAAAGCTTTTTTTTTAAGGTTCTGTACAAACAGTTTCAGTGTTTTTTGTTTGCTTTTTAGTGGCTGGCCAGTATGAGGATCCAAACCGTCGACATTGTATTTATCAGTACTATAAACTGTTTCAATGTTAGTTCTCATAATTGGTTTTTCCTGCTTTCCTAGAGAGCTGATTTTTTTTTTTTTTTTTTTTTTGCTCAGAAAGCTTTTTTTTTAAGGTTCTGTACAAACAGTTTCAGTGTTTTTTGTTTGCTTTTTAGTGGCTGGCCAGTATGAGGATCCAAACCGTCGACATTGTATTTATCAGTACTATAAACTGTTTCAATGTTAGTTCTCATAATTGGTTTTTCCTGCTTTCCTAGAGAGCTGATTTTTTTTTTTTTTTTTGGCAGCTGGACAGTACTGGGATCTAAACCCATGACCTTAATGTTATAAGACGGTGCTCTAACCCGCTAATCTAACAGGCTAGCCAGAGCTGAAATATTATTGGCGGTTCTTCACAGCATTCTTTACTCATAACTTTCCCTCAAGGGAATGGCCAGATAGGAGAAACCAAAGTATTTCATGCGAGGGGACAGGATGGACTGATGACAGCATCATAATTTTGTGGCTTTGGCTTAGTATGGAGAGGCAGTGGAAAGCAGCTGGGAAAATCAATGACAGAGGGTTTTAACTTTGTTTTTAAAAACAGAATTAAAAGACTTCATTTTTCTGGTATGGGTTAATATCTGATATGTACCAATAGAATATTCAAGCACACTATATAGAAGGTCAGTTCAATTAGTAAAGCATTGAGAATAATAAGTCAAACTGGGACTGCTTTTCCAAATTTAAAAGGGATCTAGCATTTTAATCCCCCAATTTGGACCCTGGTAATGTAATAACTTCATTTCTGAGCACAGAATTGTATTAGTAAACTTTTAGTTCATGTACATTTATCTTTGACGTCAGTCTTCTTGGCATATCACACCCATGACATTTATAATGGATGAGTCTTGGAACTAACTGAAAATTGAAGAGTTTGCAGTGCAGAGAAAAACTGTTGCTTTTTCTTTATAAGCAAGGAAATATCTGCTCTGAAATTTTTACATCAAATATGTGTGAGTCACATTTTATGATCAGCGAGAGAATAAAGACTTTTCTTTTTACTTTGGATTTCCAACAAGTCCTAAACTGAGGAAATACATATACAGAATTCCAACCTTTAGGAGCCAGAAGTGGTGGCTTCCCTTAGCATAGGCCATTATCCTTCCTCAGAGTGGTGATAATGGCCAAATGTTTGGAGTAATTACTTGGTGGTTTTTGAAGAAAGTAAGGAAGAACAGAATTGTGATGCAAGATGAAAAGTTAAAGCAGTTTGACTTAGCAGTTAGGTGTGCCTGAAGCAAGTTCCTGAAGATTGACTATATTATGAAACAAGAGTTTAGACAAAGGCCAACAGGCTGAGAAATTGGATAAATCATAAGAATAGACTTGAGAACATTGTCTTGGCATTGGATGATTCAGAATGAATGTGTGGGGGCTGTATTTTCCCATTCTAAACCCTTAGCATGACTCCTCAGTATATCTGTGGGACTTATACTGTGTTTATGATATGATTTTGGTGGTGCAAAGATTCAACAGGAGTTTACTGTGAGTGGACATCTGGGGTTCTTTGAAAATGGCAGCAATCCTGGAATCTTTATCCTGACTACAGAGTGTGTATAGGCCATGTGTTTTGGAGAGGGAACTGTTTTTCCAAGACAGCTAATGACTTTCTGAACAGCTTTTACTATGGGATCACAGCTGGTGAGAGGAGAGTCATGATCTTTCTGTGGTTTTTCTCTTTCAGTGTTGGAAGTGTTGGGAGACCACCTGAACCTGAGGACACACACATTATAATTTAGTGATAGCATCCTTACACTAGGCCTATTCTGTACTTTGGAATTGGTGAAGTTTCTAAAAATAGACTGTCAGAGGTTATAGCTTTTCATTTCTAGAAATAAAAATTACTGTTATTTATTTTTTCTGATTTTTAAAGCTTATATGTTCAGGGAAGTATAATGAAAAAATAAAGAATGTGGCTATTTTAAAAATCTGTTTTTGTACTTAGCAACAAATATACCATGCCTGTTGTGACCCCAGCTTTGTGTCAGATGCTGAAAGAAATAAATAGGAATAAATGGACATAGTACCTAGTCCTAAGAAATTTAGAATTTTCTTGGAGAAATAAGACTTACTTGCAGAAACGAGAAAGGCAGTGTTGATTTTTGTAGTGCTATGGTTATATGCAATAAGAGTTCAGAGAAGGAGCTGTCTGATAACTGATGTTTGTCAGCAGGTGATGATGTATACACACCGGTAAGCTGCTGATGAGATTTGGCATTTTCAGTTTTACTCTGGTGATATGGTACACATAAATGCACTATGGTTACAGATTTGTCCAGCTGCAGAATGCTTTCCCAGTGTTTTTTATATGAACCAGTATATACTTAATGGGATCTGAAATATGACCAAAGTTTTTAGAGTTGAATATTTTGCATTCCTTAACAGTGCTTATTAATGTAGGCCAGTGGCATAGTATTGTTCTTGGATTCTGTTTTGTGTGGTTTTTTTTTTTTAGGCCACTGACCAGTACTGGGATCTGAATCCATAACCTTGGTGTTATAACACTGTGTTCTAACCAACTGAGCTAACTGGCAAGCCTGTTCTTTGATTCTGATTTATCACCAGATTGACAGAACAGAACAGCCATCCTGGAAGGAATGCACCCTCTCACCTCCCTGCCCCCATAATTTTGGTGCATCTCTTTTCATGGGAAATGACAGGTTGTCAGAGATAATATTCGTGCTCTTACTGAACAGCATACATAATGTGCTATTGAGCTTCCAAAAACCAGACTGAATAGATTTGGTCCCATTGGGCTATCCTCACAGAAAACGGCAATGTATTTAGGAAAAAGGGGGTGCTGAGGTGCTCATATTCAAGCTAGATCAGGGAATTAGAGGAAGTAGCACTCAAAGATAAAAAACAAGAATGAAGAATGTCAACAATAGGCAAATTCAAAGAGACGAAGATTAGTGGTTTCCAGGGGCTGAGGAGAACAGAATGGGAAGTGACCGTACTAACAGACACAAAGTTTCTTTTAGGGATGAAAAATGTTCTAAAATTAGATTACGGTAAATTCTATAAATAAAAAACATTGAATTGTATACTTTAACCAGATGAGCTTTATGGTATGTAAATTATATATCGATAAAGCTGTTTTTAAAAAAGAATAATGTAATGATACAATGAGGTACAGTAAAAAATAAATCAAGAATAATGAGGAGTAGCAATGAAAATGGATGTGTGGGAAAGAATAATATGGAAAAAAAATGAATAGAAAGTGGAAGAGTTGGGCTATAAGCAAATTTTAAGAGATGTGTGGAATAAATTACAGCCCCAGAGGCTCGGAAGGATGGTAGCAGTGTGCAGTGGGACATTGTGATAGGAAAGAATACCATAATGGCCAGTGAGAGAACTGGGTTCTGAAGTCAGCTCTGCTATTTCGTCCCATCAGTGACCAAAGATGGGCCCTCAGCTCATCTAGACTTTGATTTCCCCAGTCGTAAGATGAATAGAGTCATGCTAGCGTTAATCTTTTGTTCACTAACATACCAGAATCCATGTTTTTTCAATAAACATTTGTGTACCAGGCAAGATGCTAAGATTGCAAGGATTAATAAGAGGCAATGTCTGTCTCCTTTGATTAACTCGTTCTAGTGGTGAAATAGACATATAAATTACAAATACATAAATATAATTTGGTTATGTAGCGTGAACATTTCCCCATGTCATTACGTCTTCTTTAAACTTGTAATTTTTAATGGCTGTTTTATACTCCCTTATTGATATGCCATACTTTATCAAAGCATTCCTCTAATGGTGAGCATTTGGTTTTGATTTTTCACCATCATAAATAATAGTGATCAATATTCTTACTTGTGAAATCTTTATCCAGTGGGGAAATTGATAACCAAAGACCAAGTGACTGAGCCTTCTTGAAGGGGAATGTTTAGACAGGCAAGATGAGTAGGATTTGGATATGATAAAATGAAAGTTGAGGCAAGATCAGAGTGTAGGAAGATTTATCAAAATGGGTGCTGAAGTGCTTTTGCAAAACAGCCAGGAAAGAGAGAAAAAGGAAAGTTGTTAGCTAAGTGTTAAATCATTGTGTGGGAGAGTGTCTCAGAGAGCAGATATTTTAGATTTAAAAAATGAAGATTATTGAGAGATGACCGAGCAACTGTTTTGGAGGAGGGAATAGGGAATAATCACCATTCTTAGATACCTTTTTTTCTCTTGTATGTTGAGAATAGTTGGAAAAGGGGGAGACTGGCAGGTTAGCTTGCAGCCTTATAATGCCAAGGTCATGGGTTCAGATGACCATACTGGCCAGCTGCCCAGGAAAAAAAAAGAGTAATTAGAAAAAGAGTAGTTGAGGCCGGCCCGGTGGCGCACTGGATAAGTGCGCCGCTTGGGAAGCGCAGTGGCGCTCCCACCCGAGGGTTCGGATCCCACATACGGACTGGTTCCCGCTCACTGGCTGAGCAAGGCGCGGGAGCAACGCCGAGGGTTGCGATCCCGTTGCCGGTCCCTGGTCCGGTATGGGGGCAACACTGAGGGTTGCGATCCGTTGCCGGACACGGAAAAAGACAAAAGACAAAAA